ATTAATTAACGAATCTCATTAAACTTATGCTCGTTTTAATCAGTAATTAGTATATATATATATATATATATACTAATAGGCTAATAGAGCTGCAAAGCTGCTTAGGAACAGCTTTTCCCAAATTTTAGCCAAATTAATTAACGAATCTCATTAAACTTATGCTCGTTTTAATCAGTAATATCAGCCGCAAGCTGGTACATAGCCGAATTTTCCATTTTGGTTCTTAAAAAATTTATAATAAATAAAATACGGACTCGCAGCTAAGCAACCCGACAGAGGTCAGTAGTGTTACTCCTGTCGACCCTTAAGCAAATATGTTCACGTGGACAAGTGCCCTATTCCAAATGGTTTCCGAAATCTAGAGCTATTTGAATATACAGTTGCAAAATTACTGATAAGAAAGAGATACTGTGTACTGTTTCTAATTTATTGTTCAAGTAACATATTTTTACAGAAGAATGAATATTCGAGACAAACTACTCGCTTAAATAATAGATACTATTGCCTACATGGCATGAAGGAACATCACGATACACTCATTGTCAGACGAGCAACACGCTATGTTTTCAAAAAAGTAGATAAATGTATTGATGTTGACAATGGAATTATAGAAAATTTATTATGCTGTTAAAAATGTGTCACTTGAACAATAAATTAGAAACAGTAGCTCTCTTATCAGCAATTTTGCACTGTACATTCAAATAGCTCTTGGAAACCGAGCGTTCGGAATAGGACACTCGATCGTTTATAGTATAATAACATTTTTGCTTAAAATAACTGATACTATCACCTCTCAAAGTGGTGATCTTTACTCCTAGGACACCATGTATAATTCTTCCACATTATCATGCTTTGATATTAAAAATATTATATCCAATAAAGTATATGATACCGTAACATGATTGTAAAGCCAAGTACCTCAAGAAAAATATATAATATTCCAGGATGTATTTCCATAAGAAATTCTTGAAAACATGGACAGATGTAAATAGAGTAAAAAGCTTAAGGGGATCCTACAGTGGCAGTCGTTACCGATATTTAGTTAAATACATACAACTTTTAATTGACTTTACGGAATTGCAAAACTCTTTTACAGAATTAAAGTACGCACAAAAATGTAGAGCGCTGTAGTCGATTTTATATCAAAAACGCAAAAAAAATTAAAATTTTGGGCACACAGAGCTGTCACTGACGACAATATTTGCTTAATACAAAAATACTGCAGTTTATTATATACAAAATTAGATACAGGCGCTGTAGGGAAAACATGTAAGAACAATATCGTGCAGTTAAAACTAAAATTAAAAGCCTAGAAAAAAAGTTGCATGCTTTTAACTTTTATATATGCAAAAGTACATGCAAGTTGATAGAATAAGCAGTATTGCGTGTAGCGAGAGATGGCGCAACAATTGGGCAAGGACAGATGTATCGTATAAATATCTCGTTAAACAAGGACAGATATAAGCCGGTAACATAAAAAACGAATTAGAAAGGAATTAAAAATGTTGACATTATCGACATCGAAGAAGTTTGGCCTTTGTTATAGGATCCCCTTAAAGAGAGTGGTTGCTCAGATCAAAATAAAAATAATAAAAATTAGTTAAAATATATGGAGAATATTAATCTATCTACCGTTTAGATAGTTAAGATAATAGTTAAGATAATTGTCTGCATGGTTGTCGAGTAATTAATTATTGAAGTTATACTCTTATAACACGGACAACAAAATAAAAATGATAAAATAATAAAATAATGCGTTATTTGACAATTCTTTTCATAAAATTGCGATACAAAAATTTATTTGCTCTGTACAACTTATTGTGAGTGAATTATAGCATAGCTCCATTTATCAGGGCCGATTTTCAAATGCCATGTTGCCGCTCTCCGTAGCGTGCTCGATAGCTTTGCAAAACAGCTACAATATGCTGTTTTATTTTTACAATTTTATTTTTAATATGCTTTCGAGAGTTACATCACAGGTGTCGTAACATTTTTACTAATGTCATTTAACTATGTCGCCGTGTATTAAGAGTATAACTTCAATTTACTCGACAACCATGCAGACAATTGTCTTCAACTTTGACATGGACAATTCCCATAGACAAATATCCTCCATAAATTTGAACTAATTCTTATCATTTTGATTTGAGCAACCATCCTCCTTAAGATACTTTAAACTCTGTCAGTACCAAGATTTTGCAATAAATATCTTTTTCATTGGAACCTATACTTCGAATTTTAAATCACGCTGGCAGAAAGTACGCGTAATATTACAACTAATAATAGGTTATTGCGATAAATATTAGCACATGCCTCAGTGGTCGAATTGGTACGACACCTTCACGGAATGAAGTTCCAGGTTCAAACCCTGGCTGAGGTAATATTTTTCGCAATGATTTCTTTAGTTATTTATATGCATATAGCATCAAAAATTAAATCGAATCGATTTAATTAGGTATGGGGGAAGGATTTTACTACTCCAACCGGAAGCTGTGTTTCAAGTCTGACAAATCTAGTCGGCACGCACTCAAAGGTTGGAAAATATGTAAAATAAAAATAAATAAAAAACTTTCGCGCATCATTTACCGAGCTTAGTTCATTTACCTTCTTAGTTAGCCCGGTTTATTCGTATGGATTTTCCATTCAAACCTATACACTTCAAATTTTAAATATCTTTTTATTTTAATTTTATGTTATGTATTCTTTTATTATAACAAACGCTAAAAAATTTTGAATTGTTTGAATTATATTATAATCATATTATATTCTATGATATTCTAATAATAATTAAGATTATTATTAAAATACTCTGAATTTTCTGATACAAAATTAATAATCCCATTGTGTATGTGGAAAATATGTACATTTTATATACAAAAATGTATGTGCATGAACATGTACAGTACCGGTCAAAAGTATTGCATCACTTATGGAAAGGAAGTCGTTACTTTAATGAAGAAAGACGTACATAAATTTAATTACGACATTAAATAATTATCATCAATGATAATTATTCAACATCAATTAAATCATTAAGATCTTGATTTTTTTTCTCAAAGTATTCCTATCAAAGCATAAAACAGTAGGTACTAAAATAGAATTTTATATCATTTATGTACGTCTTTCTTCATTAAAGTAACAACTTCCCTTTCCATAAGCGATGCAGTACTTTTGACCATTACTATACAGTTTTCCTAATAATCTTTCAAAATGTGTTTAAACATACTTATTTACTATGTTTACGCGAGCGTTACTTCTGTAGTAACTTACGATAGTTCCTCCGCGTAAACAGGGTTTTGTAGTAATTTATAATTCACTCCACGTAAATGAGTGAATTATCCTAAGTTACTACATAAAATAATGTTTGCACATAAAACAATGTTTTATCACTATTAAATTTTTAGTAAAAAATATATTAAGCATGTCTCATCACTGTTAAATTTTTATTACTATACAATTGCATAATGTTTTAGTATAATATTATTTCTGTAATAAAATTACAGAACATTATTTTTTACTTACCTATACAATTACAAATCATCTATGTCTTCATTTTCATCTTCTGTCTCTTCTATTGGCTTTTCACCTAAATCAGAATCCAAAATTTCAGATGATGCATTTACTAATTCTTCCAAGTTTTTATTCATGTCTAGTAAAGGAGTTTCCTCTGATGATGTCTGGAAAATTAATAAATTAAAATTCAAGTTCTGTTTTATTTGATACAATGTAAGATAAAATCTAAGTCTAAAATAATAAAAACCTGTGAAAGAATTTCACGACCATCTAAATTCTTATTGACAAGATTTCCCATCCAAAATGCTGCTGCACTATCATTAAGGACCAACATCCCTTTGACTCTATAAATAAATTTCTCTGCTATAGATTTCGCTGCAGGCACATATTTAAACAATGGTAAATTCTTCTTTTCTGTGCAGTCGCAACATATAGCATGTAAGTATCGCGTACCATCTAAACATAATATATGATGTATAAGAAAAATATATGATATATGATAAATAAATTAGAAAAGAATATTATTTTCTTTCTACTATCAGACACGCACGCACGCACGCACGCACACACACCTGCGCTTGCAAACAGAATGTTTTATAATTCAACATTTTAATTTAATAAATTCTTTTTATGAATTTAAAACAAGTTTTTAGCAAAAATGTCCTAAAATTAACAACTTTATAATCACAAAATGATTGAAAAAGAAAGTTTTTTGTGAACTAAATAGATTACAGCTAAATCAACTAAAATTTACCTTTTAGATACTTATCATTTTAATAAAATATTTTAGTTGTGAGTAAAATAATAAATGATATCTTTTGATTTTCTAGTGAGAAAATTTTTGTTAATTTGTTAGATAACTAATCATTAAAATTGAAATTATAGTTCACAAGACATTCCATATAATTCATCAATAAAAACAATTTATTTCTTACTTTGCATCATTTTTAGAATACTAGTTACGTCGTCTGTTTGATACTTCAGATTATGTTCAAGTATTGGCATACCAGTATTTAGAAATTGTTTTATTAACAGTGGCATGTATCGTAAAAATAGTCGTATAGTAGGTTTTGTTTGCAACGTTTTACAAATTTGCACAAGTTTTTGAACATTTGAAGTAATATTGTGCCATACCTTTATTCTTTTTGGATCTCTAAAAAATGTAATCAGTAATTTGAAAAAAGTTAGTGTATTCATAATAAATTCGTAATAAATCTTTAGTAAAAATTCTAACGTGTAAATTCTAAAAATTCTAACTAATATAAAACTCATTGAATGTTTTTCTACACAAAATTTAGTTTCTACTTTTATAAAAAAAAGAAATAAAATAATACTTACGAGTTGACCGCTAATAATGCTATATTAATACCTTTAATTAAACCGTCAAATAGTTTTTTATATAACAAGTGAAAAATATATTTTTTCACAGAAGGTATTCTTGTTAAGGAACTAACATTTTCAAAATTGGAGACTTCATCTGGTAACCATTTCAAAATTGACGTCACTGCCTCTAATGGCGATGGTTCATTATCCATCCAGTTATTTAATAACTGAATAACAGATAACTTATATTGAGGACCAGTATGCTTATCCTCAGGCCATTCCAAGCAAAGAAATTTATACGCTAATTTTGCTGCAATCAATCAGTATAAGGAATTTATAATTTCTTGTATTGTTGAAAATATCTACTGTTCTTGTTAAAAATTTTCAGTAACAGTCCACTTACCATGTTTACCCTTATACTCTTGGACATAAGTCTCAGAATGTTTCATTAATGATTGACACATGTTGACAAGAACATTAGCTAATGCTATTTCGGTAGCAATATCTAACAATGATTCAAAATATTTGTATGATTCTGCAACGAGTTCCTTACAAGACCGCAATAATGCATTTTCTTCATTGACTTGTCTAGCCAAAGTACGTAATCCCTCTAAAAAGATATATCAATAAAATATAAATAACATACATGTCAGATATCTAATTGTTATCTATAATTAACTAATAAAAATATCAGACCACGTAGCAATGTATTGTATGTTACACTCGAAAATCCTTTCCAATTAAAAATGCTAGTGAGAAGGTGCAATAATAATATTGCGCCTTTTCGAAAATTGCAATTGTCATCTTGTCTTAATCTGCTGACAACGTCATCCAATTTTGAGCAGATCTTTGGTAATAAATGGATTAAATCTTTGACAAAACACTCAGAAGGTTCATTTTCGAATATTGTCAAAAGTTCTCTTACAAGGAAACACACTTGTTTTATTGATACGCCTTGTGTTTCAGATTGTGATGGCTGTACATCTATTTTAACGTCCAAAAGGTAGGCTATCTAAATATCATGACACAGTATTATCAAACATAATCAAAGCTTATAACGACAATTTAAGATGCATTCCGTTTCACACATGATATATATAATGCATTATTTAGCCTTGTTTAACATTTGGTGAATAACAAGGATTAATGATGCATTATGCGCATCATGCGTGAAACGAAACACATCCTTAGAAGTTATGATATGTATGCAGTATCTCAAGATCACCAGATATCTGTTTAATTACAAATTCTTTGATTAATATTCAAAATAATTTTTTTTCTAAATTAAAAATCAGGCTATCAATTCAGTTTTTGGATAATACTTAGAAATATAAAGTTTTTTTTTATTGCAGCAATCATGTTTGCCAGTTTCAATTTCAAATAAATTTTATACTTCATTATTTTATTTACAAAAAATTTTCATTTTACTATTAGTCCAGTCAAATTAGACAAAAAAAAGGCTTTTGCTCGGAAGTGAAGCGGTATTTATGAAACCTTTTTAGGGTTGTTGGG